AAAAAAATTTCCTTTGTGGCGCAAATTTCTTATTATTTTTAAATTAATTCAGAGGGGTGCTACCCGGATCTGGTGCTGGTTACAATCATTTATTTTGGTGGGGTAGTTGTACGGGGCGTGTATTTATAGATTTTCCAAGTGTGCACGTGGCAGCGTTCCCCCAAGTCGTAAAAAAAATTTTCCTTTGTGACGCTAATTTCTCATTATTTTTAAATTAATTCAGAGGGGTGCTACACAGATCTGGTGCTGGTGGGTACAAACATTTCCTTTGGTGGGGTAGTTGTACGGGGTCTATATTTATAGATTTTCCGAGCGTGCACGTGGCAGCGTTCCCTCAACTCGAGAAAAAAATTTTCCTTAGTGGCGCTAATTTCTTATTATTTTTAAATTAATTCAGAGGGGTGCTACACAGATCTGGTGCTGGTTACAAACATTTCCTTTGGTGGGGTAGTTGTACGGGGTCTATATTTATAGATTTTCCGAGCGTGCATGTGGCAGCGTTCCCCCAACTCGAGAAAAAAAATTTCTTATGTGACGGTAATTTCTCATTATTTTTAAATTAATTCAGAGGGGTGCTATCCGGATCTGGTGCTGGTTACAATCATTTCCCTTGGTGGGGTAGTTGTACAGGGTCTATATTTATAGATTTTCCGAGCGTGCATGTGGCAGCGTTCCCCCAACTCGAGAAAAAAATTTTCTTTTGTGACGGTAATTTCTCATTATTTTTAAATTAATTCAGAGGGGTGCTACCCGGATCTGGTGCTGGTTACAATCATTTCCCTTGGTGGGATAGTTGGGTAGGTAATTATATTGACGTATTTTATATCTCTTATTTCATCATAGAATTATTAATTAATTACATTATGCGCTTATTGCGTATACAGCGCATGCGCATATCTAGCCCCGCCCATATCTGCTGGTCCATGTATCCCACTTTCAATGTACCATGTGTCATAAATCGTGGCTGGAAATGTGTGGATAACTTCACTCCAATTTTCTATCCAGTTGTTCATGCATGAATACGCATATTTATTCATTCATCTGTACCACCTATAAAACTCACCCATCTACCCATCTACTTTTTGTACTGAGAGATGAGATAAGTCTAGAAGATTGAGAATGCGAAAATTTACGAATATTTCTGATTTTCTTTATGGGGGGTTTTAAAAAATAAGGTTTACAAAATACCTTCGCGAGATATTAATCATTTGAAAGAAAAAATCACAAATGCTTGTAATGAGTTAAATGGCGAAATGTTAAATAAATGTTACTAAACGTTTATTAGAAAAAAATAGAGTTTTTAACAGGAAAGTAATTTGGGTATGTTTTTCCAAAAAAAACATAATTGATGACGTCAATACTTTCGATTGAAAGTGGAGCTTACCTCATCCCATTTCACACCACGTTTCCCAAATTTTATTTAAAATTTTTTGTATCCTCACAGTAGGCCCATACTATCAAGTTTCAGACACTCTCTACATACAAAACAGAAGCTGCTAATGCATTTTGTCTTGCTTCGCCATGAATTAAGATAGTCACGATTAATTATTATTACATATACACACAGGCCATTTTCAACAATCCTAAGATTGATATAAACAATAAACCACAATAATCAGAGCACTATGAAAACCACAGTAATACCTACTAAATAAATCATTTGTCAAACTCGCACAGCAAAGTTTATAAATACATTTTAATAAGCATGTCGCTACGTATTGCTTCTAAATATAATTTAAAACATTTTTTTTCCTGGAAATATTTCAATATAACTTTTTCGTGATATACATATATTATATTTTTAACGAGGCATATATTTCCAGTTTTTTTGATAAACTGGATATCTTGTAGATATTTTTAAGCATTTTATTACTGAATGAAGAATGTGACAAAATTATGATTTATGATATCGGCAAGTAAAAAATAATTATAACAAATTTTCAATTCCAGTGACTATACAACATCCAAACAAATGTATAGGATGTAAACGTACCATGGGATGGCCTTTATATTCTTCTGATTTGAACCCATCAAGATTATTCTACAGGAATTGAACACTTATATTTATGCATTATTTAATAGTTACTAACCATGTATATTTTATCTCTTAAACTTCTATTATATTGAATTATCCGGTAGATTTAAATTTAAATATTAAGCGTAATAAGGTATGTTACTAACGAAGCATTTTCTATATTAACCAATTCAGGGCGCTAGAATTTATGAAGCTCAATCGGAGGAAATTGCTTCTTTATCTCAGCTGGAAAATAAACAGATTTTAATTTTCCGCAAACTTTTCATCAGAGAACTTTTCCGGGTTAATTATATTTGGAGAATTTTCCCCTCTTTTAAAACCAACAGTCCCACTTTGATTTCCGCAGGATTTATTAATTTAGTATGCGCGTCTTTTCCCTCCAAGTCCCTAAATAAGAGGATTGAAATGGTCGCTAACAGTATAACGGTAATTATGGTCGTTTAATATGGTACTTAATCTATTTCAAAATATTTTTTGTATTAATACTTTTAAAGACAAAGTTTCTCGAACAAATCTTCCAGAAATATGTTTTTAAATAAGATACAGTTCATCCCAAGATAAAAATACAAAGTAATGAATAGTGTGCACAATCAAGGCGTCTTAAATGATTGAAAGTTTCTGTTTAACACTTAATTCAGTCAATAAACACATTATTTAGTACTTGCTAGCAATAATAATTAAACTTCTGAAAAATAAATCATCAATCACTGACAAAAAACTCTGGGAGAACAATTTTAAAAAAATTAATCATTAATTAAATTACCGAGCCCGAGCATGATGTAAATATGAGAGAGAAAGAGAGATACAGAAAGGGAGAGACGTTTCAATGCCGAAGTAATACTCGTATACTTGTTTATCCAATATTTCCCTCTCGACAGCACTCTGGACCTCATTACGTTATATTGCTTTATTCAATTATTTATTCGACAGTCTGTGCTTAATTAATATTCCACATTTTTAAATGATTCGTTTTTTTAACCCAAAGCAAATTAAAAATTTATGATGGATACATTTTTCAACATATCCATATGTTAATAGACATATTTTTTCTTAGAAATATTATTATCTACTAAAATCTATTATCGAATTTCTAAAATACTTAGAATTAGTTGCGTTTTAATGATAGTACCTTCCTTCAACCCCATGAGTTCATTTAATACACATTTTTTAATTCATATTCATAAAGTATATACCATAGTCAGTTGACGTAGCAAAAACCAGAATTTTTCGTCCACGAAATACTTAATGAAAACGGGGCATAGAAGCCATGCTGTGACGTCATACCATTCGTTAGTGGCTAACCCACATACTTGTATTAAAATTATGGAACCTGGTGTAAAGAGAGAATAAGTGGCAATATGTAAATTGTACACTAGAGCAAAAAATATTTTTAGTTTTTGCCTAAGAATAACATTCGGGTATAAGTTAAAGTGAAATATTCCCATAAATAATGATATACCTAAAAGATAATTTATGATTTATGTTATTTATTTTTAAATTTACCTACTTCAAGTGGAAAATGTGACTACGTAACATTTCAAACATTTTTCCGTATACAATGTTATTAGATATAAGAAGACGATTCACTTTTTAAGATTAGGACTTTAACCATCGATAGATCTCGTCAAAATAATGTAACTTTGAAGTACTCGTATACACTTTTTCTTCCAAAGGCTTCCTTTTAGAAATATAAGCACTTGAAGCTTCTTAAACTATGAAGGCCATTTTATCAGGACATAACTATTACGGGATTAAAACTCCAATAAAGTTTTATTGTAACATTGATGGTGATAGTTTAAATAACTTTACTCCGCGGTCGAAATTATAGAGAGTGACTCATCGCTAGCTTTTGGACTAGTAAGGGCGATGAAGCGTGCCGGGAACGAAAATCCATTGACGTGTCTGCGTAAAAGGCAACAAAATATAGAAAATATTGAAAAAAGATAATAAAACATAACATCTAATATTTTTTTAGGCTTTGCTATAATCGGCACTTTGATCCATTTTAATTATTATAGCATTTTAAAACGTCCCAGTTGTGTTTCTTTAATTTATAAATTTATTATAGCCATTGAACTAGACCCCTCGTCTACGCTTATGCTATGACGTTTCTCAGGACGGATAAATCAAGTCCGTATACACCAACTAAAAAAGCATGTCCCTATTCCCTAACAAGTGCAAAAGACAGAGATAGAATATAGATCGACGTTCAGTGTAACTCAGTCTATAGACGATTATAGATCATATAACATCATGTAGAAAATCATTTTATATTTTATACGCATTATGGTAATAGTGTTTTTATATTATGTCTGAGTCACTCTCTATAATTTCAACCGCGGAGTATAGGTACATTTCTCAGGGTCTAACGACACTTAGAGTGTGCGATAAATCAATAAATTTAGAAATCTACATAAAAAAATTGATAAATTTGGAACGAATACATTGAACATGATTTTTTCGAGACAAAACATCTGAATCTCGTTCGGGCTGAGGCAGTACAGTACTGGGGGTCATGAAGGCTTGCAAAAAATGTAATAAAATTTCCAGGGTCGTATTTAAAAAAAAATGAAGTTGATGATGGTCCTGGAGAGACGAAAGGTTTCATACAAAAATTGATTATGCCACTCGATAGAGGGCAAAAAGTTACCATGAGGAAGTGTTTTTCTTTATTCAATATCACCTCAAATAAAGTTGAAACGAAACAAAAACGGATTTGCAAAATTTCGGTCTTTTTGAAATATTTCGTGTCTTATCGTTTCCGACATCCCTGTAGAGAGAAGCGAATTTGTAACAGCCTGTACATCTTACCTGCTAAACCGGTACTGAGTAGCAGTATCGCAGAAGCCAATAAGAACATATTAGCTGAACGTGGCGTCTAACGTTGCCCCTAGCATGGCGGCGTCGCTGTCGGGACATTCACTTCAAAAATCCCAGCGGTGTTTGCAGTCGCCCCCTCATAACAGTCGAAGTGAATCCTCTCCTTCCCTGGAACAATAGCAAACCTTTATTATTATTAACATATTTTGAGCAAAACAATATTTAAATGAACTACTATAAATGGTACCTTGACAATTTTGAACCCAAAATATAGCAATGCACCGAATATGCTTTGTAACTATGTTAAAGTTTCAATAATTTTTCTGTTTTTTCTTTGTACCACCCACAGTTTTCGAGATATGTAGCTCAAATTTGGAACGTAGGCTAATTTAGATTACCTGCATCATTAGCCCTGACTAATAGTTATCACGATCTACAGGGTGATACTTTTTCTGGGGTTGGGCCTCCTTTTGGTCCACCAAACTTTTTTCCGATACGCCACTGGTCGTTTCAGGAATAATGATTTAATTTCCTGTTCAATTGAAAAACTTTTTTATCTCCTGCAATTTTTTCGTATCTGTGGCCCTTCTCGAACAAAAAAATAAAAAATGATTTCCTGTAAGTCGCTAAATTAAAAGTCGAATTTCAAAATCACACTCATAGTTTGAAATTTGTGAAAACGAATATTTTTTTTCGTATCTCTTGTGAAAATATTTAGTTTATCATGTTTTAAGAGCCCCTTTAAAAAATGACGTTAAAAAATATTTGTTTTAGATGTCGCTTAATATTTTTAAAAATTTCCAAAATCGTCAAAAATTGAATTTTTTTGAAATATTTTTTCTCATTATTTAATCATTTTCTAGGTTGAAAAAATTTCGATTCTGAATATTTCAAATCGATATTTTAATTTCTAAAGGTCATTCATAATTATTTTAACTTTAAAAGTAGTATACTTAAAATGTTTTCGAGCGACCTCTAAAAATAATTATCAACCAACTAATAATTTTTTTTATTGAATTTGATGAACAAAATAATAGAAATAAATCACGAGACATTTAAAAAATTTCTCGAGGCAAAATTTATTACCGCACTGTGAATATCAAGTATTTATAATTTTTTAATTTTTTAAAATTTAATCCAATCCAGTTTGTAAATACCCCATATAATTAACGTCACATGAATATATCTAGACAAAGGTACGAAGAGTACTAAACGTACTAAATTGGATGAGTAATCTTACTGTTTTTGACTCCGCCACTTTCACCCCCAAACAAGGGTAAGCCCAAAATATTTAAATGACATTGAGGGTTGAGTAATATTTCGTTTGAAAGCTCTTACAATTCTCTTTACACCAGACTTTAAATTTTATAATTCCGCCCAATACTTATTAAGAATTTTGATTTTAAAGTTGAAACTTATGTACAAACAATGGTAAAATAATAATGGTAATGGTAAAAATATCAGTCATTCGAGTTAAGTACGTCAATGGTACAAATTTAGTATTTCTTGCGTTACATTGGTTTTTGGCGATTTGTTATCACTTTCGTAAAAAAAACACAATTGTAAAAAACAGAAATTAATGCTATACACACACAATGAACGTAAAATTAATGTATTCCAAATTATTTTCTAGTATTATTTGGAAGCGTTGATTGGTAGTTTATTTAATTGTGTTTTTGAAAATTAAACACTATGGTTTATTCCATTGCGGAAAGGGTAGATATCATTTCGCTTTACTTTATGAACAATACATGTGCGAATAGAACAGTTCCGCTATTTAATGAACAACATCAAGATCGACATGTCAGGAGGAAGTATGTTCTAGAGTTAGTAAAAAATTTCAAGTGACAGGGAACGTAGCCAATAAAGAACGAGAAATTGAAAAACCTATAGTGAAGTTGCAGTTTTGGGACAAGTTCATCTTGATTTCTTGATCTTACATTAAGTACGAGGCAGCTGGCATCTGTGTCTGGGATCAATCGAACTAGCATACAAACCATTTTTAAGAAGAATAAATTCCATCCATACAAAATACATTTAGTCCAGGAACTTCATGAGGATGATTATGACTGCCTTTTGCAATTTTGCGGAAATAATGAGTGAGTGATGACAGTTCTTTTTTAACATCTGTGTTTCTGATGAATGCAGTTTTTTCTTGAACGGGACGGTAAATCGTCACAATTGCCGCTATTGGTCCGATTCAAACCCAAGAGTTTTTCACGAGGTGCATACATAGCAATCGGAAAAATTAAATGTATGGGCTGGAATTTTCGGTGACCGGCTGGTGGGTCCTTTTTTTGTACATAGTAATTTGACTGACTAAATGTATTTGCAATTACTGGAAGACCCTATTGACCTTGCCTTGACTGATATTATTGAAAATGTTCCAGAGTATGATGAAGATCATTTGATTTTTCAACAGGACGGGACGGTGCTCCTCCGCATTATGCGTTAATTGTCCGTCAGTATTTGGACCAACGTTTTCTACGGAATTGGATTGGGAGAAGAGGCAGAATTGAGTGGCCTCCACGATCACCGGATTTATCGCCCCTTGATTTCTTTTTGTGGGGATACTTAAAAAGTAAAATCTATAAAACACAGCCAGCATCGCTGGAAGATTTGCGTCAAAGAATCGTCGTCGTTCTGAGCGTTTTTCTAGAGTCGTCTGAGCGTTTTCCTACAGCAGTTCCTGAAAATGGCTCTGTTTCGTTTTCATTTGGCCACCCTGTATATGCGTAGATCTTGTTTCTGTGCTGTAAATTTGTGGTATGCGTTTGTGACCTGAGTTGGTCCAATGATAATTTAGATTTTTAGATTTTAGAAGTGGTTTTCTGGGACATAAAATTTGGCAAGTGTCGGTAGTTGCATAAGTTTTTTTTGTACGCAATTTTTTCTCCTTCCTGAACCGAAAATTTGAAAATTTATCATATTTTGCATAAAAAGGGTACTCTTGTTAGATTTTAATAACATGAGCCATTTTCTAGTAAAATCCATTTCAATAATTCATTACTTGCTCAAAAATTCTTGCTGAAAATAAATGTATTAAATTGTGCCATGAGAAAATTACTATTTATGACACTTAACATAGGTGTTAAGTATATGTCAATTACTGATAGAGCAATGTAAAATTATAGAGTCCCAACCATTGCAATAACTAAAAATACAGGGTAGCCCATCGAAAACGTACCGCAAGGTATTACAGGGTAGTAAAGAACTTTTCGGCAAAATCCAAAAACAGGTTAAATTTGTTTCTGAGGGGGACAACTTTTGGCTCAAAAAGCATACCAAAATCTTTAACCCCCTAAGTGGGGGTGCTATTCCCTAAATTTTTTCAAATGGGAATGGGGGACAAGTGGGGGGTCATTAGAAAGGGCTTTTATTTCTCTATACATCGATTCTTACTTTTTGAAAATCGATTCATTATTTTAGAAAATATGCAGCTTAGAAAATACGAACAATGTTTTTGACGAGAAATGCGAAAATCGATTTAATTTTTCTTCAAAACTTACGGTATTAGTCAAGTAAATGCTGAAAATGTTGTCCGCCAACTTGCATACAATGATACAGGTTGTCCTCAAACCGTTGTCGAACATTCTGGAGCACTTGCGGTGTTACTTCGCGACATACATTAATGATTCGTCCTCGCAGATCTTCCAAGGTATCAGGTGGAGTGCTGTAAACTTTGCTTTTAATGTGCCCCCAGAGAAAGAAATCTAAAGGATTTAAGTCGGGTGACCGAGGGGGCCACTCAATTGCATCTCTTCGTCCTATCCAGCGTCCTGGAAACGTCTCATTTAGGTAATTGCGCTCATTGAGCGAGTAATGTGGAGGAGTTCCGTCCTGCTGGAAAATCAGTTCGTGTTCATTGTAAGCAGTGTCGTCCTCTATGATATTTGTTAGAGCTGGGTCGATGACATTTTGTAGTAAATCCAAGTACATATCGCCTATCAAATTTCCAGGAAGGAAAAAAGAACCTACAATGGAATTTCCAAAAATACCTGCTCATACATTCAACTTCTGGGGGTGTTGGCAGTGTCTCATGGAAAATCCTTGGATTGGTATCAGCCCAGTAACGAAAATTATGGCGATTCACTAAACCATTCAAGAAGAACGTACACTCGTCCGAAAAAGACATATTAAAGAGGAAATTATCGTTTATCGCTCGTTCAGTCATTATTTCGCAAAATTGCAAACGACGATCAAAATCGTCTTCATTTAGCTCTTGCACTAGCCGAATCTTATAAGGATGGAATTTGTATTTTTTTAATATTCGTTGGACACTTGTACGACTCACTCCTGTCGCAGTAGCCAATTGCATTGTACTCAGCGTACTATCCACTGCCACTTGCCCCAATACCGCTATTTCCGTAGGTTCATTTAGTACCGGATTTTCAACTTGCCTCTTTTTGTTATGAACGAAGCCAGTTTCGCGAAATTTGGCCACCAATTCGCGAACAATTTTTCCAGACGCATGTTTCTCAGGATGCCGTTGGTTGAACAGTTCGGCGACCCGACTTCCGCATTCATTGTTTTTGAAAAATAGCTCAATAATTTCTACTCTTTTTGGAATTGAGTACACCATAATTAATCAATTTAAAAGACTCGGCAGTATTGGTACTCTTCAACTACAAGTCACAAGACAGTTATCTAGCAACTTCTTGTGGCCTATCTAAATACGAAACAAAAAGCGGACAATTTTTTGCTCACCAAAATCAGGCTAAAGAATTCGCAAATCAGAAAAAAACAGCGAATTCTTTTGAAGGAATTTATCAAGCTAATACCGTAAGTTTTGAAGTAAAATTAAATCGATTTTCGCATTCTCGTCAAAAATATTGTTCGTATTTTCAAAGCTGCATATTTTCTAAAATAATGGATCGATTTTCAAAAAGTAAGAATCGATGTATAGAGAATTAACAGCCCTTTCTAATGACCCCCCACTTGACCCCCATTCCCATTTAAAAAAATTTGGGGGATGGCACCACCACATAGGGGGTTGAACAAAAGTTGTCCCCCTCAGAAGCAAACTTTACCTGTTTTTGGATTTTGCCGAAAAGTTCATTACTACCCTGTAATGCCTTGCGGTACGTTTTCGATGGGCTACCCTGTATAACTAACATGTTAAGAATAGTTATTTTTGTTGTTTTAATTAAC